TACGTTCTATGGCCCTGGGGGAGGGGAGAGCATAGTAGACCGATCGCCGACACCCCCCCCCCCGCCAAAAAACATGTCTTATAAGCCGACCAATTAATGAGGTGCTTCCTTTAAAGTCAGAGTGCATTTGCCTCAGAGGAGAGGAGTCACCAATCTGCACACAAAGCCGTGTCTGTAAAACGGATGCGCAAGCATAACTCTGGAACAGGACGACAGTCCAAAAGTGGACGAGCAATAAGAACCTTCCGCTAGAGTTTGCAGCTGGTGAACGCTAAGACAAGGAATCGTTCACAAAGCAGAATCACTATAATTTTTACTTTTCCGACTGCGGCAGTTTGTAGAGAGCAAACTGTTTTGTATGAGCGAGGAAATAAAATAAATTCATAACCAGAACAGTTGGTGCTAACTGCACTGGCCATACAACCCCAAATCCGCAAAGCACAAACAAGATTTCCCGTCCTGCTTCTATCTACATTCACCTCGTGTTGCCGCTGACACTAAAACATTCACAAGTGATCTCCCCTGCAGAAGGTCTGCTGATTTGTTGCCTATTCTATCCTGTTTCCTTTTACATCCCTTCACTTTTCATTTCTACTATATTACACGTCTCCATAGGTCCCAATGGGTATGGCAGCATGTTTAGCTTCAAAGTCATTTTTGCCCGGTAGCCGGTATGTGTAGGCTGCCGAAATACCTTATGTAATAATTTTACGTGTGTCTAGCCAACTTATTGTGACCGACTACTTTTACCTAGAAACTACAGTATGCGTTTATTGCGAACGCCAATTTAGGGATTGTGCTCTTCTACTCAATTCTTTATCTGTGATCTTGTTTGGCCAAAATATTTGCAGGAATCCCCTTAGACATTTATTATAAAAAGTTGCTAGTTTACGTGTAATTTCTGCTGTCAGTATACAACACTCATTGTTGTATACAAATATTCCTAAAATGTTGCTCCTGTATATTCTGAGACTGTTTCTTCAATGCCTTAAGCCTCTCACAAATGTATTTTAACAGCAATGGAGTGTTCATTTTTTTTATATGTTAAATCCAAAAAGCAAAACCGTGCTATTTACTATGAGGATCAGTGTCAATCACTTTTTCCCTTGTCATCTTCTTCTTCTCAACGATTCCTGGCATCTTTGGACAAAAACAGGACAGTGCGTTTAAGGTCTTCACTGTGCCCCATAGTTTGTCTTGAAGGCTCGCGATCCAGTGGACCATATTTCGTCTCCCTGACTGGGTCATCTTGTAAGTATGAACAATTGTTAAACTAAAGAATGTTATTTGTAAACTTCGTTTAAGCTAATTTACTGAAAGTCATCATATCTCTAAACTGGGATATGTTCGTTTAAGCAAGAAAGTCTGGTTTTTTTTTTTTTAAAACACATACACTGCTGAAGAACAAGTAGCATTTCAAAACTGACAATGATGAATAAAGCAGTATTTAAAGAGACAATGATGAAGAAAGCAGCAGCATGCCAACACAGACATCGGCAAAAACAAGGAATATTTTAAAACAGACAATGGTGAAGAATAAGGTCAATTGTATGGAAACAAAAATCGAAATTATGAAGATTCTAAAGTTGGGGTGGGGGAGGAATGAAAGTTGGCAAAATAACTACAATAAGAGATCAAATTGTAAACAAAACTGGGCAGTATGGTTGTCAAAAGAACCATGAGGTAGTCACAGCTACCTATACAACAGATGTGTATTAGCTATGTAAGTAGTTTAAACTATGTGCACAACAGTTGTAGAAACACAACTATACAATACTAGAACTATCTGCACAGTTGAGTGAAAACACAACCACAGAGTAACTTTATCTTCAAGAAAGTTGTGATATCGATAGCATAACCATAAGAAACTTTTATGTGCACAACACATGTGATAGCAACCATGTAGTAATTGCAACTATTGTTAAAACATTTGTGACAACACAACCATAGAGTAACTTTAACTAACTGCACAATAACTGTGACTGTCACAGACAAGTAAAAGAATCAGAAATAAAACAGACACCCAAAGTAACAGAAAATATTAAAGCTTAGCCACAATGGTTTGTGGAATATGACTGCAATGAAAGACCAAATCTTTATCAAGGCTGTTAGTGTTGCTTCATAATTTTCTAAAGCTGTGCCAGATTTGATCACACCAGAGCTTTCTAAACTTTTTATGTTCAGGACTCACTTTTTGGACAAAAATAATTCTGCAACATACAAAATATTTTTACTACCAAAATTGAAAATTCTGTTTCACAATTTGCATCTGCACGACGACACCTTGCTGAGGTGAACAGTGGTGATTACACAAGAATGGAGTAAATCTGACTATCTGCATAATAAATGCGACACTAGATGAAAGGTAACTTACTATCTGCACAATAAATGTGACAATATAAGCACAGAGAGCTTATGACAATCTGCATAACAGAAGCTCAGAGTAACTATGTCTATATGCACACATTTGTGATAACACAGTCAAGGAGTAACTTAGACAAAGTGCACAATAGTTGTGATAAGATAACAAACTAGAGTAATTGTTACTATTTACAAAACAATTGTGATACCACCCACAGCTATGTATCAACTTCAACTATCCACATAACAGTCGTGGAGACAAACAAATAATAATAATCTAACTCAAACTATCTGTAAAATAACTGATAATATTGTCATGGACACGTTTCAGCTATCTGCAAAACAGCTATGATAAAAAAATTTAACATCAGTAATAAGATCTTTGGTAAACTACAATCCTACATTTGTTTACACAATTTACAAAAACACCATGTGAAAAGAACAATCCTAGATTTGTGTACATTATGTACAACACTACCATTTTAAAGAACAATACTAGATTTGTTAGAACAAATTTAAAAAAAAAAAAAAAAAGTCACCTGAAAGAACAATCCTATATTTGTTTAAATGATTTATAACAACGATTTGAAAAAAAAACACTCCTAGATTTTCTCTAGCAACTGTTACAAATTCAATAGGTAAAAAAGTAAAGGACCATTTTCCCCGCCTTTTAGGTGTATGTATAGGGCATATAGGGCTAGAACTATATTTTTATACACCAATCGGCACAAGATGGGCGATGTGAGCATCACTCCGGCCGCCTTTACTTCCCGGGACTGCACCCGGAACCCACTCGAGGCTGGGAGCCAAGGTCATTTTTAAAAATATTCCGGCTCCGCCAGGGAGCGAACCCACGACCTTACAAACTCAATACTTGTAAAACAATCCTAAAATAACGTGAACAAAATCCCCCTCGGTACAAAGGTCCCATTTTGGAAGAGAAAAAAAAAAGAACAGACTCACTGACCCCCCCCCCCCCCCCCCCCCCCACCCAAGTGTGTCGTAAAAGGCAACATTATGGGTTTGCTGAAATCGGATGTGGTGGGTCAAAAGGCACAGATAATGCAACACAGCTGTAAACCACAACGTACTAATTACCATTTTAAATGTGAATGAAGACTGTGAGTAAAGAAAAAGAACAAAAAGAAGAAGAAGAAGAAGAAGAAAAAGAAGAAGAAGAAGAAGGAAAAGAAAAAGAAGAAGTAGAAGAAGAAGAAGAAGAAAAAGAAGAAGAAAAAGAAGAAAAAGAAGAAGAAGAAGAAGATGTCTGAATGTGATGTATGGGAAAAAAAAGTTAGCCTTTATACGTTTACGATCCACCATTACACACTAACATGTCATTTACCCAATTTACATAAATAATGTAAATCATAAAATAGCACAAACGAAAGAACAATAAAGTATATATATAACAAAATGTTTGGATCTAATATCATAATAGTAACAAGACAATAAACAAATTAATTCTTTCTCAATAACTTGTACATATTTGTATATTCTGTTTTGCTGAAATTTGCAATAACTGTAGGTAATTCGGGTACACAACTAATGCAGTAACATAGGCAACTCTGATTTACTGACACCTACAACAATTCTAGATTATCTGACAGCAAACTGGAAGCAGTATTGTGATTTGGGGGAGGTGTGTTACACTTTCAGTCCTAGTACATCAATGATATAAATGTGAAGCAGCCCATGCTTGGAATACCATCATCTTCCTGTTGTCAAGTTTATATGCTACTGATGTGTTTCGCAGTCTAGCTTAAGTGTGACTCCATTCTGTTGTATTCTGTAACTTGCAGATGTTGGTCAAGAATTTGTATGTACATCCATTTTACAGATCTGCTTATTTGTATGCAGACTGGTTGTTCCTGGACACTCAGGCAGATACACTACAAGTCTGTAGGAAACAGATCGAACTAGTCTTTACAACATTTTTGTTAGCAGGGCAGTGGGTCTATCCCCCCCCCCCCACCCCACCCCGTTTTTTCCAGTGGTGCCCCAGAACCAACTCAGGGAATTGCTTGACATAGAATGGGTTGATAAAATCATATGTGGGTTTAGCAATTGAATTTATACAGATAGTAAAGAATGAATTGGTGATTTAATCATATGTGAATACACAAGTGTAGGTGGGTTTAACAGTTAAATTGTATATGAACAGTAAGTGGGTTTAACAATTAAATTGTATATGAACAGTACGTGGGTTTAACAATAAAGTCATACGTTAACATCAGTGGGACTTGAATGAGTTAATCTCTGTACTTTTTACAAATTAACTGTAAATATGTGAAAAGATGATGACTCGTTATCTTTAAAATTATTCACTCTTGTGTGGGTTCCAAGGCCCCATTTGGGGTTGGGGGGGGGGGGTCGACTATCCCTTAATAAGCATGTCATAAACTCTAGGTCTGCTGAAACTGAATTTTGGGGCTAAAAGATGCAGATACTGCAACCTAGCTGTAAACCACAAACACAACATGATGGGTGCCCCTTTTAAAGAGCACAGACAGAAAAAGACAATGAGGCCACATAATAATAATAATAATAGTAATAATAATAATAATAATAATAACAAAAAAAAACATAACCCGGAGATTCTCGAAGAATCGTAAACAAAGAACCGATCACATATCACTTTATGCACTGGATGAGTCTGACTCTATCAGAAGTCGCTGTGTTTGTGAGTTTTTGGAGTGACTCTCCAGCCCAATGCCACCGCTAACACAACCATTACCACTGCTTCCACCACTTGAAAGCGTAGAGGTCTCTTTTTTATGTTCCACACTGCACTGGCATCCCTTGTGCCTGCAGCGGTTGTAGCAAGAAGTACAAGCAGCCAAGCAGGCTTTAGCCGGCCAGTACGCCCACAAGCATGGCAAGCACATGGCCATCACGCTGAGCACTGTCCATCTCCGGCAACAATGTGGGGTTGAGCAGCAGCCACATGGTTTCTCATAACACTCATTATCTTCTTCTGCTCCGCAGTGGTAAAACATCCCCTTGACACAGCAGAAACACGTGCACACGTCCAGCACTCTATCTGGGCTGACCTCACAGCTGTCATGACAACACCAATGAGACGGTAGTGGGCGTGGTTCTGTACAAGCTGCACACCGGCACTTTCCACATTGGTCACAAATGATACCCTCCCCATGTTTGGCCCCCACAGTGGCAGCAGCAATACTGCCATTGGCACATTCTGCTCCATCCCCGCCTCTGCTTGCATCCAGCAAAATTACTGGATCTTTCTTCAGAGGCGGAGACTTTGGTAAGAGTTGCTGAGAAACTATTGGAGCTGGTGATGTTGTCAACGTCTGCCTTGGACTTCCAGTACTGCCTCCTCGAGACGGAAGAATAACTCTGTGAGCGAATCCAGGTGAGCTGATTCCGCCTCCTCCTCCACTGCCTACAACGGCCAGTTGGGGCTTGAGCGAGTGTAAGGGCTGAGCACGGGGACTATCAACATACTCATTGGTGGTCTGTGGGCCAGATCTAACCTGGCCCAAGCTGATTACAGACGTAGCCTGCCTACTAAATGAGTCTGGAGAAGGAACTGTTCTGAGGGACGTTCTCATTCCACTTCTGAACTGTGGTTATACTTCATTGTGCTGTGGAAGAGAAACAGTGACCTTATGAGACTACTTACTACAGTGAGAATAACAAGCAAAGTTCTCGAATCTTGACCATATGAAATCGCTGATTACATGGAGAATAACTAGTCAATGGATGGGATACATTTTGTGCACACATTAAAACACTGATCTCCCCTGAAAACCAAAACACAATGTGCCAGTAGGTGAATGGGAAAGATGATGAAATCTTTGATTAAATCTCTTAAAACAAGCTCTAATTGAAAGGTTACTTCCTCTGACCATGATATCTTGATCCCTCGATCTCTCGCCTGCCCTATCTCTCTGGATCACTTCCTGTATATTGTCTATTCTTGATTCAGTGACAGCTCGCACAATAATCCTGTGCTCCGCCAGGTACAGGGGCGCCTACACGAAGGACGGTGTGATCTACTATATAATCTCCCAAGCCGAACTAGGTCATGGTCCATCGATAGATTTTCTAGACTCGCCTGCTGTCAGGGAGGTTATGGCTATGTTTACTCTTTTGGCTTGTCTTGCAGTTGCGTTTTCTTCTAAAAAGACAATGCCTGTGACATAGGTTCCATCACTCACTAGGGGGTTGTGGGTTAGACCTAGTTTGTAAATGTTTTTGCAGTTTTAAAAGCGCTGGCGTGCTTAAATATACCGCACGCGATATGAACGGAATGCCGAACACTCGTCTAGCAGTGTGCGAAGGTCGGGTGACTGAAGGTCGACCAATCAGGAGTGAGCTAGTGTGTACCGTGGGGAGATTATCATGGATCATACCTAAAGGAAGTATATAAAGGGGGGGGGGGGGGGGGGGCTCAACCCTTTTACAAATTTGTAAAAGCTGGGGTAGTGTATGAGGGTCAGGAGTGGTCTCAAAGGGATTATAACTCAACAAAATGTGTTATAACAACAGTATTAATAATAATAACAGTTTACTGAATGGCAAAAGGATTTAGCTGAAATAACAGGCAAGGTCGTGAAGGCTGCTTAATCACCTTACATATTTTGAGTAGAGCAGCCGGGATGCACAAGGTGCCTGACTTCCCAGGTTCTGGCACCTCTGGTTTCAGGTGCATGTATATTTCAACAGACAGTTGACCCATATGCGTTTTTGTGTGCATGGGTTGTTTTTCTTGAGGACCTGCAGGCACCTTATTTAGATACTTTTTTCTTTTCTTTTCAGTGCTAGTGTATTTAGATACTGAGTGGTGGGTACCAGCACCTATTTTTAAACACTTTACGGTAATTACCGGCACTACACATGTGGGTTTCAGGGCACCAATGTGGACAAAACAAGAAAAGATCCAATGCCTCCCAAAAAGCCTGTCATGTGAGTGGACTAACTGGGGTTTCAGTCGAAGTCAAAAGCCATCTGCCTGAGAAGCGAGAAACCAACAATCTGCAAACAAATAAGCCAGATCTGTAAATCAGACACGTCCATGTGGCACTTGGGTACTGCAACAAGAAGACTAATGTCTACAGGTGACCACGAAGAAGAAGAAGAAGAAGAGTATCGTCACCTTATTTTTTAGGTGAAAAGACCCTGTGTGTATCTGGTAGTATCACTTTCAACATTCGCCACTGACCAGCGTGGTACTGTGGCTTAGGGGCTAGTGAAAGAGTTTCACAATGCAATCTTCATCATTCACCAGGGTTTGATTCCTGCGATTGGCAGTTCAGACAGTTCTCATAGCTTTCAGACAGTTGTCATATCTTTCGGACAGAAGTGTAAGAATCGCACTGTGGAAGAGATTGGGGTCACCCCATAATATCTCCATATTTAAAGTGGATACATTGCAGGAAACCTCGATTGTGAAGATTGTAGAATTTTTTTAAAAATCATTAGCCATATTTTGTGTATGCTGATGAAGGCTTTTTAGCTGCAATTTTTTTTTGTGGGAAGCTAAATAGTTCTAAATTTGTTTCGAGCTTAGTTCTGTGGATGAGACAAACAGTGACCACAAAACATCATTCACTGCATGAAGTAAAAACATTAAATCCTTTATAAGTGATATTATTTAATAAAAATGATGTGATGGATCACCTGAAATCATTCACTCCATCAGTACTGATCACATGAAATAATTCACTACAGGAGTACAGACTGATCACATGAAAGCATTCACTACATGAAGTACTGATCACATGAAAGCATTCACTACATGAAGTACTGATCATATGATATCATTCACTACATGAAGTACTGATCATATGATATCATTCACTACATGAAGTACTGATCATATGATATCATTCACTACATGAAGTACTGATCATATGATATCATTCACTACATGAAGTACTGATCATATGATATCATTCACTACATGAAGTACTGATCATATGATATCATTCACTGCATGAAGTACTGATCATATGATATCATTCACTACATGAAGTACTGATCATATGATATCATTCACTACATGAAGTACTGATCATATGATATCATTCACTACATGAAGTACTGATCATATGATATCATTCACTACATGAAGTACTGATCATATGATATCATTCACTACATGAAGTACTGATCACATGATACTTTCACTACATGAAGTACTGATCACATGATACTTTCACTACATGAAGTACTGATCACATGATACATTCACTACATGAAGTACTGATCACATAAAGCGGCATTCTCTTCATGAAATGCTGACCACATGAAATAATCTTATCTGTTCACGGTGTCTATAATAACACACAACATACACAATGAAGCAATACAACACATACATACGCAAACACACACATAAAAACACCATCAGCAACAAGTCGGCAGTCACACACTTACTTAGTTCCAAGTCTCCAAGACAGAAACGCCAGCTTGCAGTGTTTGAATGAACGACCGAAACAGAAACCTGGTAGGTGGAAAAGATAGATAAATATAGGAATAGCCAAGAAACAATTAAAGTTACTAAAAACTGTCTAAGAATGAATAAACCAAGAACAGACTATACTTCACTTGGGATATTCCCACAAGTGCTTAGTCCCTCCATTGTGTGTGTGTGGAGCCAACGGAGAGTCGACAAGCTAATAGAACAAGTTGTAGCCTGATTAAAAGGCCGCCTTCGTTTTCCTCTCAGTTAATCTAGTTATCCCTTTATGGGATGCAATTTTTCGTTATTTGAAGCCCTACACTGGCTCTTGCCCGACCATAAATATGGTCTAATGGCTGAACGCGGTTTCTGGGACCTCTACACGGGTGATCCTCATTTACATGGTTGCACTTTGTGTCATCGGGTGTTTATCGCTTGTGTGATGTCCTAGTGGTGTAAAAGAGGATAGAGATAGATTCACTTTCAGTGTTAATATTTTCCAGAACCTCTGCTCACCCGCTGCTGAACTAGTCTTTAAATGTACTTGTTGCTCTGTCTGTTCTGTTGCTCTGTCTGTTCTGTTGCAATGTCTGTTCTGTTGCAATGTCTGTTCTGTTGCTCTGTCTGTTCTGTTGCTCTGTCTGTTCTGTTGCGCTGTCTGTTCTGTTGCTCTGTCTGTTCTGTTGCTCTGTCTGTTCTGTTGCTCTGTCTGTTCTGTTGCTCTGTCTGTTCTGTTGCTCTGTCTGTTCTGTTGCTCTGTCTGTTCTGTTGCGCTGTCTGTTCTGTTGCGCTGTTTACTTGATCCCAGAGGAGCCTTCACCGTCATCATCATCTCCAAGTGCCGTGCCGAGTGGCGTGAGTGATCATGCCTCTGTATAATCTGTTCTTTAACAGCATGTATCCATTCATCTCTATATGCTCACACCCTCCCATGCCATAACACAAGGCTGTCGAGAATCGTCTGGTGTTGTCTTCCCTTGTCTCTTTCCAGTGGCCACAACATGTCCCAGTCTCCAATGTTCCATCTCCTGACACCTCATCCACTTCCCCCTCCCCTCCCCTATTTTCTGATGTTTGTGACAGCTGCCGTTAAGCCTTCGCCTCTTTCAAAACACCTTGCTTACTTTAACTGTTCAATTCTAAGGTTTGTTCGGTATAATCACTCCCCTGAGGCCCCAACAAATTGTTTGGTTTGTTTATAAATTGTCCTGGATTCCCAAACATATGTTTAAACGTGACATATAGCCTGCGAGAATTTTTTAAACATAATCTCTAGACACGAATTTATTGCAAAAAATGTTGTTCGTTTTAATAAAGCAGTTTTTTTTTACGTCCTATATTCTGTTCATTTTCACCGTGATAAATCTTCCGTCGGATGTTGTCCATGTGCCTTTACCACGTCCGCTTAACTCAACGCCCAGAGCCAAATACAAGGTATTCAACATAAAACACAATAAGAATCAAAGAAGCACTGTCATCGCTAAGGACAGACAGATAAAGATCGCAATTATAACCAAAAGATTATATACATAAGCTGGTTGAGCGCGATCGAAATTTGTTTTCTTCATTCAACGATGAAAGGAACGATAATCTATTTTATGGTAAAGATGGTTGTGCACCAGATCCTGCTGTCGGTGGTGTGAAAAAGTGGGCATTCAAACATACTGGGTCATTTAATGAGTGGTGTATTCAGAGGTGAAGAGGAGGAGGGAACTTGTATCGGCTGCGAAGTGCTCAAGCCATTTTGCCTCTTGCTCTAAAGAACGTTGATTCGTTTTACGACTGCGTCGTTCGGTTCAGGACTGCACTTTCTTTTGCGAAGATTCTGGAATCGTCGTCGGATCTACAATGTTCGTGCTATGTGCGACACTCTCAAAGGACGACCAGCCATTCTGCGGAGAGAGACCGAGGCAGACGGAAAAAGCCTCGGTGCAGTGAAGCCGATCCTGCGTCACATTTATCACAAGCGACAGTTGCGGAAATTCCCGTACTTTTGAGGTTGACGTGGTCAGTCAGTGGTAACAATTGTTATTGAGTTGATTTATACACAAATTGAACTACAGTTTAATTAATTTGCAACATGTGTTATTGAATGAATTATTATTTTGAAGATAAACAAATAGGCTATTAGAAAATATTTATCCT